GAGGAAGAAATGGACTGGCAGAATGACCTTAGCTCTGAGGATGAAGATGAAGATGAAGATGAGGATGATGCAGCAGTGGGGACTCTAGTCACTTGACTTGGTGTTTTTCTTGACTATTTTGTGAATGATCACATTGTTACTTTTGCTATAACATGCTGATTTACACTGATGTAAATGTCTGTAAATACTTTCTTATACCTGTATATATGAAATACAAATTTAATTTGTCATTAAACTATTGGATTGACTTCTTTTGATAAAAAATCAGGTCTTAAGAAAAAAATTGACTGGAAGCTTTAAGATTTAACTTTAACTACCAACATGTAAGGATATGGAAATCACAATTACACTGTCATAGTAAGATAAGAGTTATGAAACTTACATACTGTACACAGATCCATAGTGGCAGCATAACACTTAAAAACTCACATTGTAAAGGGGTAAACTCCCCTATGTAGAGCCATCGTAGAGGCTTTTCTAAATGTAAATGTATGCAATGTTTTAATGCCGCTCATAAGGCTGAGCCATCCACATGTTTAATAACTGCTACAAAGAGGACACATGTTATATTGCCTATTTATCTCAAATGGCTTTTCTGGAAACCGTGTTTGTAGTTTCTCACAGTTACATGTTTTGGAAGGAGAAACATTTATAGAAAAACTCCCATTTTAAAAAAAAATCTTTAAATGAAAAAAAAATGTGTTGGGTGTAATTTACAGTTTAAAAAAAATAATAAAAACCACTAAAAAAGTAAAGTACTTTATTCTTTTTTTTTTACCCAAAAATATTTGTTATAATTACTTTTTAAAATGAAGAATGTAAATTTAATGAATTATTACACAAGCATAAGAAAAACAAATTGATTCATAAATTAGTTTATTAGTATAAATTCATAGAGGATTTCTGTTGCTTTGGTATATTTCAGACAATGGGACATGCTTAAGCAGTTAATAAGGTAAGAAATTACTAGATGACAATATCTGTTTTAAGATCTATTATAGTTTTTAGTACTAAGTCAAGTAGTTACATTTATTTTCACACAGTAATAATAAAAGTAATTTAAACAACACTGATTAAGGGTAGGTTTAATGTAAGAGAGGCAAGAATATATAGTAAAATGTAAAGTTAAAAAAATCCCCATAAAATATGAAAACCCAGCTATGTGTGTGTCCCAATTACACTATGTTTGTGAAGCCAATTTGAGTTTTGGACTGTCAAAATGAGGATCAAGAGAATAAGGAAAAGATATTTTGGAACTCTGACACTCATTTAAAGGACTGTTTGATGGTAAAAATATGGTTTAAATGTTAAGGTTAAGGTTATATTAGGCACTTATACTTAGCTGTGATGGTTAGTGTAGGGGGCTAGAGAATGTTAAATTGAAATATAAAACTGAAAATATAAATGAGAATGACAATTATAAATGTGTGTGTGTAGACCTCATGTTGTGGGGTTGTTGGTCTGTTTAAATAGAAACAAACAAACAAAACAAACACAGACAACTTAATTTCTGTGCTGACCATTCAAAGTCCTATTTGAAACTAAACCTGAGATGGCATGTGTCTGTGAAATGATTTTTTTTTTTTTTAATTCCACACCAAAAGCAAATACATTGTTGGAAAGGTATTGACCTGAAGAGTAACATATGTTGGTATGGACATTTTACATGTCTCCTGCTTTGAAATACTGACCATTAAAACTGTACTTTGGTGCATGTTTGAAGGCTTGTAGTTCAGCAAAAAAAAGGGCTAAACACATGGGGCCACCTGTTATGGAGAGCTCCTGACCTCAGGAATCATGTGAGCACAGTCAGAATTGGCCACCAACTGGGGGCGCTCTTAAATATGGTTTGAATTGATTTAACCCCATTTAACAATTAGATATTTAAAATTTGATAACATATTTGTGTTTACCATCTCCATAAATCCCCCATTATACTGTGAACTTACTTTTTACAATTTCCAATTCTAAGTAAAACAGAAAAATAAAAAAAACTACAATTCCTACTAGCCTCTTTACGGAGTTTCATACAAATCGGCACCATATTTGTAGTTCTTCTGGTTTTCAAACTAGGGTTAGAAATTAGGGTTACAAAAACATATATCTACTGCATAAATAAACCATCTAGTACAATCAAATAAGTGCTTACACGACACGTAGATGATATATGTTCTCCCAAAGTAAATAAGTTGCTTTATTTCAGACATTGGAGACAAAATAGGTGTAAAACACGCTAACTCCGCCCACAGCCCGAATCACTTCCGTACTTTTCCGCTGCCCAAAAAAAATTAAAACCAAAAAAATCGAAGAAAATATTACAAATTATATTCTTAACAATAATATACAGTATACTTGGGTTATCAATGAAAAAATGATACTTTTGGGGTATGTGTACGTCATGAAACTTATGGGGTTTCACGTATCCGCTTTGGTGCAAGTGGTGACGTATTGGTGACGTATGTAGTACAGTTTTCAGGTCCAAGCTGCCACTCATTTGAGTTGAAAAATCATTAGTTTATGATCACTTTTTATTCATATTACACATTAAAGTTAAATTTATATGAAGTCATAGTGTACACACCAATCTCTGGGCTTGCTGCATAACAAATACCAACATTTAAACAAGTTATAAAAAAATTATTCACTTTCTGGCCATCGGATATTGGGCACGGACATATATATTGCGATCGTGATTTTTTAAAAGTATTAAATCGCTTTGTAAACGTTTATTATTACCATTTCATGAGTCTCCCCATTCAGTTGAATAGAGCCAAAGAGCTTAGAATGCCAATTCTAAGCTCTTTGATAGAGCGCGTGGACCCGGAAGCCGCTTCGCGTGACGCCACACTTAACAAGCGGATAGCAGGCTAAAAGCGTCAATCACCATAGCAACGAACTCAAAGCTACAGACAATTTACATAAACCTAAGACTCTGAAAATAAAATGCACGCTTATTTTTGCAAGAAAGCAGCCAGAGTTGTTACTTCACACATTACACAGTGCCAGGATCCGGCGCTTTTAACGAATAATGAACGTGTAAGGACATGGCACACTGAATGTATATAATGTAATGTATATAATGTATGTATATAATGTAATAATATTTAATTGACGTTTGTTATGACTTAACTTTTCTATAATTAACTTTATATTAAATCTGTATTGCCATTTGTTTTTGCTATTTATCTAATTATTTTATAAACTTGGAGTTTTGTAACAGAACATTTACAGATGCAAAATATATTTAGGGCAAGGTCTGTTTAAAAAAGTGTGCCTGTCATAAAAATAAAGTGTACTGATACAGTAATGTGGTTATAGTGTTAACAGTAAAATTTGTAATACCAAAACTGGCTATACCTTGAATATGACAAAAACACTACTAAAAATGTACTACAGCTGTTCAGTCTCAAACGCTGGGCCCAGAGTTAAAAGTGAAACTGTTACTAGAGTTGAGATATAAAGTTATATATGCCAGTGCAGTTAAAGCTGTTGTGACCCCTGATAAATCAGGGACTAAGCCAAAGAAAAATACATGAATAATAAAAAAAACATCTATACACTGATTTCAATCCATTCAACTTTTATTTTTGTCCACACAACACAGTTCCATGGGAAAAATAACATTTTTTATTTGAACCACCAAGGTGACAACTGAACTTTTAGCAGACTTTCTTTATATAGTTCTCACAATTATGACTTTATTGACAGTCTTTTTAATTATACTGTTATATAAACTCCCAATTCCATATTTATAACTCAGATTACCAGAACTGTGAAATGAAAAGGCTGAACCTGCCAATCAGAACGCTACAATCATGTGTTTTGTTGTCGACAGAAAATCCATTTTATTCAGTCATGTATAGCTTTAATGGAGATAATTAGTATTAACACTATTTCTCTTAATCTCATTTTAGGTGGTAGGAAAGTTGGCATCAACCTGACACTGTCATTTGTATGTTCCCCTGTGGTTCCCAAGATGGGGGCCAGGTCTTTTGGCTGAAAGAAATAAACAAAAAAAAATTGGTTTCTGAAATTGTACAAACAATTGTAGATTCTGACATGGTTTATGACATGTCCCAGACAAAATGGGGTAGACAGCTAAAATGTAGTTAAAATATAAGGTTGTTTATATTATATAGTATTATGTTTGCATTATAATCATTCAAAGATCATATTGTATATCCAATCATTTTGTGTAATATAAAGCTCACCCTATTCCAACTGAATATTAAATTATGACAGTAAATACTTAGAAAAATAGCAAATTAGGCATATTATTTATGGATAAGTCATTGCTTAACAAAATGCCACAAAAAAGGGTACTGTAAGTTGTACTGTAGTTGTGATGAAGCCTTGTCTCAGTCCATCAAAATGAGCCTATAACAGTGTTGTAGTTACCTATTATATAAATGTAAATAACACCCAATTTATGCTTAATTAAATAGAATGTGTCTTTAAAAATACAGATAAAGGCCTAAGTCATTTAATAAAGAAACATGATGTTACCATGATGGGCAAGGGTGCCAATGAACCAGTACTTCTTTACAGCCCTTGGGAAGACGGTATAAGAAAACAAAGGTTATACATTTATTTTGTAAGTATTCATTTAAATCCTTTACCCAACCAAGATAAACCAGACAACATATAAATCACCCAAACAGTAAAGGTTTGGTTCAATATTCATATAATTGTAGCTGAAAATGTTCAACATATACACATTTTTTTAATCTTTTCTGAAAAAAGCAAACATTTTAGCAGTATAAAATTATGTAGCAGTATGTAGGATAGTTTAATTCATTCATTTATTCACACAATGCAGTCATATGGTATAGCTAACTAACCTTGTTTTCACGTGTCTTGGACACATATTGTACTGGAAAAATTTCCAATTTGCTGTGAAACTGGCAGGCTGTGGAAAAAAAACAACAATTCTGTAAATACAAACCATTCCACTTTGATGTAACAGTAGCAAAAACAAAACCACAGAAATGGAAGAATTC